TGAAAAATAAAGAAAAGCATAAGGAAAGGAAAAATGAGCACAAAGATACTTACACCGCCGTAGCTAGTGTAGCAACTGATGAGATTGAGGGAACTATACTTTTAGCAACTAAAACTAGTTTCAGATAAGACAATGAGTGGATTTTAGATTCCGATTGTTCGTATCATATGTGTCCCAGCAGGGACTTATTTTCTACATATGATTCAATTGAAGATGGANATTGAAGGTGGGTTGTGCAATTGGGTAACAATTCTACTTGTAACGTTATTGGCAAAGGTACAATTCAGATCAGAATGCACGATGGTGTGGTGAGAATTCTCACCGATGTTAGATATGTTCCTGAGTTGAAGAAAAATCTCATCGCTTTGGGCACTTTAGAATCTCTTGGGTGCAAATTCACTGGTGAAGGTGGAGTTCAAAAAAAATTTCAAGGTGCTCTTCTGATCATGAAAGCACACAGATCTGGTTCATTGTATACTTTATTGGGATCTACTGTTATAGGCACTACTACAGTTTCGGTATCAGACAACTTGTCTGAGTTTGACGGCATAAATTTTGACATAAGCTCATTGAGGCTTTTCGGAGGTGGAGTAAAATAACTATATCATCCAATTTAGGCCAAGGTGGAGATTTGTAAGACATGGCCTAAATTTGTCTATGGCTAATCTTGGAGCCAAAGTATTCAAACTTGGAGCCAAACATTCTAGTGGAACCAAAGAATAAAAGTACTTTCTCTTATTCTTTTTTTCTTTACTTGAGGACCAATAATTTTGCTTTATAAATTTGGGTCATCTTACTTCATTTTAATCATCCCACATTTTGAATAGAAACTCCTTTTGAGTTTTCTTGTAATAAAGAGTTTTGTTACATTCCATATTCCATAGAATTAGTGTTGGGAAATACTTTTAGTGAATCTCTTCTTTGTGGGTGATTGTTGCGAGGTTATTCTTTTGGGATATATTTTGGAATAATTAGAGTTTCATATCTAATTTTGTACTCTCTTTTGTGTACCGGTTGTTATAATAAAATTGCTCCTCTCCGCTTGTGTGGACGTAGGTCATCTTGACCGAACCACATTAAATTGGTGCTTTCTTTATATGATTTAATTACCGTTATTATCAACTTGCATTGTCTTTGTTATAATCATTATAACATTACTTGGCTAAATTCTGCACTACCCGTGTTCCCGATCCTAACGAATCTTTACACCAGCACTATTAAGCACATTTGAGTCTCATTGCAATAAAGTTGTGAAACTCTTTATTCTGTAGATATTCCGACGAGTGATGGGGGAAGTGCACAAATAGCCCATATTTAACGAATAGTTAAAATTTATACTCATATTTTTTTAAGTTTGGCCGTATCTGAATCAACTTCTGACTCGAAAGTTTCAAACTCAGACTCAGAGCTCTATTAAAACGTAACTTTAAACCTCACGTTTTTTGTACGCAGCCGAACTTCAAAGTAGATGGTCTGAAGTTAATTTTCACTTCGCTTCTTTTTCCTTTTACAACTCCACTTTTTCCTTTTTCCTTTTTCCTACTGTATAAAAGTAGATAAAATTACTCCTTTTGAATTACTGTTTAAAACGGTTGTTTAGTCTTAAACCTAATAGCGTCCAGACAAATCCTTTCTCAATTTGAAAACGGAATGACCAGTACAATTTATGGAAATTCCAACATAAAAATTATAAAGGAAGCTTAATATCGTTCCCTTTTTCTTTTTCTTGTCGCATGCAAATTTCTTTCATTATAAATAGAAAGACAACCAAATTCACAAATACTTGGGACAATTAATCATGCAAGAAAAACATCAACAGCAATCAAAGGCACATACCATAGTACGTAACAAGAGAAGTTCAGTGAAGAATTCAACAACAATGACAGATTCAGATTGTACAGAGTTTGAGAGAACCAAACCCAGAAAGAGGCGTCAAAAGCTCATTAAGCGTCCAATTTCAAGATCAAAAACTGTTTGTGATTATTTAGAAGAACTATATAAAAAGAAGTAAGTTCTTACACTTTTCTTTTTCTTCAATTTCCCGAGTTAAACTTTTAAAATTTTAAATTAGAATGATTTATAACTGCTATTATATATACGCCTTGTTTTTTTTTTTTTTTTGGCTAATTGTAGGGGATCCATAAGAGAAGACGCACTAGGCAAATTGATCATTGAATTCAAGAAAGCGGTGCGATATGAATTTGCTCAGAATATGTACGTAACATATTTAGTTTTGCTGAATTTATTTTGTAATTTGATTGGAAGATAACAATATTTAGGTGAGAAATATACTGATTAAATCATTGGTGTATGTTTTATTCAGTTGTGTTACTTTAACACACCGATGCGAAAATTCGTTGAAGCGAGGTTCTGCTTTGGAAATTGATCTTGCACTACAACTTATAGGTTTGTACATATTTCCATTAAATTACACTAGGGATATTGAATTATATTATTTCTCTATAGTTGGAGGCAAGTTTTTAACCTGATGGTTCTGGATTTTAGAAAAACAACTTCAAGAGCTAATAACTTGGTTTTAAATTTACTATAAGTGTATATATTTAATGAATTTATTAACATAAATACCATATTTAACCAAACTTATTAGATTCAACCGGTCTGGGCTTCTAACTCTGCTCCTGTCTATAGCTTGATAATACTATAGTTATACTCATTAATTGATTGGGATGCAGGACTGTTAGCAATAACACTTGGGGCTGGAGATCATGCACATGAGATATATGAATATTCACTAGAGTTTCTTCCTCAAGTTCTCAAATCCAAGTCATCTCATTCTGCAAAGGTAAACTTTTGTGTTTGATATTTTTTAAATATATGATATGAAATAGTTTTATGTTTATCTGGATTTTTGACAAATTTCATGAAATTAAAATAAAATTACCAGGCATTAGAATGTTTTGCTATTGTCACCCTTATTGGTGCCAAAAATACTGATGAAACAGAAAGATCCATGGAGATTATATGGAAAATTATGAATGAAGATACAAAACCCAATGTAAGTCCTTCGGCCGAACATTAGCTTTGTTCTAAACCTTGTATTTATCTAAAGAAATTCATTGAATAATTTTAACAAAACTTAACCAGACTAGAATTCTGAACCTATAATTTTAATTTTTGCTATATTGTAGGTTGTTGCTGCAGCAATATCCGCCTGGTCTCTCCTCCTTTCAGAAATAAATGGATGGTGTGTTAATCACAAGAAGTGGAAAGGGTATATTGTGTACAAATTATTGTTTGTAAACCTTTTATTTTTAGTTGTACGACTTTTGATTTATTTGAATTAATATTTCCAAAGATATTTTCAATTTAAATCTCTTGAAATTGGTGCAGGTTGTTCTCGTATTTGCTGAAACAACTAGAGGAAGATTATGATCAAAATGTCAACTGTGCCTGCGTAGAAGCACTTGGTGTAATTTTTGAAAATGGCAGCCTTGAGAAATTTTCCGATGATGCAGAAAATTATGCAAACTTAAAAGACATGAAAGATGATATATTGATAAGAGCTTCAAGTGTTACCAAAGAAAATGCTTTAAAACTTCTTGAGGTATTTTAATTTCCTACTTAATTATGTCAATAATTAATTAACAGTTACAAAGTTTTCTTGTTTTGTTAACTAATAATTTTCAATTTCATTACAGGATAATAGTGATAAGAAAATCACCCTCACAATATGTGAAACTGAATTGACCTTAAGCACTTTTTCACTCGTGAAGCAGGTAATCTTTTTCCATATTTTTTTTATCTGAATTGGGCCGAATAAATGTAAATTCGCTTCAAAAAATCTCATATTGCAAGTAAAACGTTTCTTCGATTGTTATGCTTTTAT